ACGCTCCCCTTATACGTATCTCTCCCCTCCCTCCTATCTCTGTCGCTTTCTCTGTCTCTCTCCTCTTCCCCTTCTTCTTCTCCCTCCCCTCTCCCTTCCCTTCCTCTACAACTCACCAGGTGCTCGCGGGATCTTGCTCGGCCCGAACTTGCTAACGAGCATCTCCTGATCCCTCTGCTTCCTCGGCTTCTTCTCGTCCTCCCCATCCCCCAGCGACCCCAGACTCTCATCCTCCAGCGGCATCTCCCCCCTCGCAGCCCTGACCCTCATCTCCACCACCTGCGCCTGCAGCGTCGCCAGCCGCCGCTCGAGCATGAGCCGATGTCCCTGCTCCCGGTGCAGCTTGTCCTCCAAGTCGACCACCTGACTCCTCGCCATGCTCTCGCTCGCGATCCTCTCCTGGAGTATCGCCATGATCTGGTGCGTTCGTTCCTCGACCACGTTCCTCGGGTCCGCCACGTACAGTCGCTGCACAGCCTCCCCGACCTTGTCCCTCACAGCGTTCCATTCCTGCCTCCATACCCTCTCATGCTCAAGATCCTGCTTCAGCCCCGCCTTGCTCAGCTCCACATCCCTGATCTTCTCCTCCAGCCCCGCGAACGTCGCACGCGCCCTCTGGACCTCCTCCTTCATCTCCAGCACGTACCCGTCCCCCTTCCTCCTCATCTCCCTCTCCATCGCCACCTCCGCGTACGCCTGCTCCCTCGACCTTAGCGCAGAGTCGATGGCTGCCTGCGCCTCCCCCAGCTCTGTTTCCAGCTGCACGGTCTTGTCCCTGTACTCCTGCACCTTCTCCACCTGCTGCTTCAGGTACTCGACCTCTTTCATCAGCGCCTCGTTCTGCGCCTTCATCCCCGCCAGGGCCTCCCGGATCGACGACAGGATCCTCCTCTCCTGCTCCACCTTCGCCTCTGCCTCCGTCGCTCGCTCCAGCGCGTTCTTCTTCTGCTGCTGCGCCTCCGTCAGCTTCTTCTTGAGGTCCAGGATCGTATCCGCCTTCCTGAGCGCATCCGAGTCCAGCTCGCGGATCTTGTCCTTGAGCTGCTCGGACTCATGCTTCACCTTCTCCATCTTCTTCTGAAGACTCTCCTTACTCATCTCCTCCTCCTCCAGCTTCCGCAGCACCTCCACCACCTTCATCGCCACCGACATCTCCAGCAAGTCCTTGGCCGCCCCGAGGGCCTGGACGTCCAGCTGCAGCCGGGCAGCGTTCTGCGCGCTCAGCACCGCACGAAGCACGTCGTGCCGCTGCCGCTCCATGGCCAGCTCGCCGTAGATGTTCTTCAGCGAGCTCTCGAGCTTCTGCAGGTCGAGTAGCAAGCTCTCATAATAAAAGTCTTTCTCCACACTCACATCCCTCAGCGCAGCGCAGCACCGGACGGCGTCTTGGTAGATCTTGCAGTCCCTGGCGCTGGTCCCGTCCTCCTGCCTGTACTCGGCATCGATCAGCGGGTCTCCTAGCGCCTTGAGGGAGTGCCAGACTTCTGGCCTGCGCTGGTAGAGGGCCTTGTACTTGTTTGTGTGCGACAGTTCGCGGGAAAGCTCCTTGAGACGCTTCAGCCGCGTCTCCGCAAGCTCGAACCCAACAGCCTCGAACAGATGTCGGCAGTATAACGAGATGATCTCTGCCACACTGAACTTGTCGTACTTGTCTTGGTACAGGTCAGAACCCCTCGCATACTTGGCAGCGCCAGTGGGCGGGGGACTGAGCAGCGGGTTGCTTTTGTGCTGCCCGGCCCCTCCCTCAGCGTTACGAGCAGGGTCTCTGTTCGCCGCCTTCTGCTCACTCTCCTTCTCCTCTGCACGACCCGACGGCGCTTCCTGCATGCTGCTATCTTTAATCTCACCTGCGTGCTCAATCGAGTTCGACCTCATTTGGTGCCCTCCTTGCAAGGACTCAGGCGGGGTAGCCTTCATCCCTCCCACACTCCCAACACTTGCCTGCCTCTCCCTCTGCGACTTGGCGCTGGCCTCATCCGACTCTACTCCTCCATCTTCTACAGCAGCTCGTTTCGCAGCTTCCTCGTCCCTGGCGCTTTCTATGGGTGCATTGATCTGAGGAGGCTCCGTGCCTTTCTGTTCATCCTTCAGAGAGTTAACTTCCTCCTCCTTCTGGCCACTAATCTCCTCCTCCTTCGCTCTATCTTTTGATCCATCCTTCGGAGGCTCTTCAAAATTTCCTCCCGGCTGTTCTGCTGGCACATCATCTGTCTTCACTTCCCCTGACCGCCCTTCCACCTCCACCCCTTCTCGCCCTTTGCTGTCGTCCTTGCTGTCGTCCTTGCTGTCGTCCTTGCTGTCGTCCTTGCTGTCGTCCTTGCTGTCGTCCTTGGCGTCGTCCTTGGCGTCGTCCTTGGCGTCGTCCTTGGCGTCGTCCTTGGCGTCGTCCTTGGCCTCGTCCTTGCTCCCCTTCTCCTCCGTCGGTTCTGCCTGCATGGCAACCGACTGGACTTCAATTCCTTTGAAAAGAGGTCCCTCAAGCTTGCCTCAGGCATTGCCGCTGATAAAAAATTAGTTAATTATTCAACTCAGTCTCCCGACCGGGCCGGGGCAGACCGCTCCCGGGCCCCCGGGTCTGGCCATCATCTCGATAATTGGCCAGTGCGGGCAACACCGTGTCAAAAGCTCAAATCAATAAACTCCGAGATTACCACCCCTACTAGCCCAGTTTTTGATGGGGGTAGGTACAGCAAATTCTAATTCTGGAAGATTTGCTGAGGGAGGGTGGGTTACTGAATACTGGGGGGTAGGTGTGGAATGATATTAATTGGGTGGGTGTTTTGTGATTTCTCCCAGGGTAGGGTACATACTTATGGGGGTGAGGGGTTATCCTCTTGGTACAAATCTTGGAGCGTGCTTCACCCGTGGTACTTGAAGACCTTGATGGAAGGTGGGGTAGTGTTGTTGATGGTGGGTTCTTACCATCAATTCGTGGGGTGGTGTACATAGTAGGGTTGGGTACTCCCTCCAAATATAGTATAGTCGGGAAAGAATGGGGTGGGAACACCTCACAAAGAGGGTCGGGGGTGGTCCCTCCAGAAATAGAACAGGGGGCTACAAAAAGACAGCTGGCGGCGCGGAGAGTCAACACCAGGTATGCCCACATTACCGCGCTATGCTGTGGGGAGAAGAGGGTGCGATGTGGGATGATGAAAATGGCGATGGAAGTAGACGGAAGCGAAGGGATATAATATTGTGAGGTGCATGTGTAAGAATTTTCGGGTTAAGAAAAGAAATTTTGAGACCTCAAGGAAGGGGCAGGAGGGTGGCTCTTGGAAGAGGCATATGGATTGATGAGGAGGATATGGAATCTTTCAGCGTCTGTCGATGTTCTAACGATTTGTTAGCAGCAGCAATGTTCCAGTCTCTTTGGATGTGGCGTCAAGAGTACCAGCACCACGAGCAGCTCCCGCTCGCCTTCAACGGCACCTGGCCTTCCTGGAACTCCGACCTCGACAACCGCCCCTGGTAAGGCGTTCCAGCTGAGCTGTGCGGTATCGGACGTCGTCATATGTACTGCTGTAGCTGTGTAGAGCATGTGTCGATGACCAGGCTTATCTCTCTATACTTTCAATGAAATTTATTATGCTTACTTGAAGCAAGTTGTTTCCTGCCACGGATCATCATGTGGTTGATGTTGTGTCGCAAGGGAGTATATGGGGACTTTGAAATTTTCACTGTATGAAACCAGTCGGGTAAGAGCTAGCATCTCTCTTTGCCGCTTGAATCAGAGCTTGTCTTGCGCGCTTCTTGTTGTTCCTTGCCTCGGACGTCTTTAGCTTGAGTCCTGTTCAGATGTCACACAACATGTTCAAACGATCTCCTCTGCCTCCTCGACCTAGGTCGTGCTTCTCCCATTCTGGATCAAGGAACAGTTCCTCCGCCTCTTCCGTATCCTGCAATTCAAGGGCTCATCAGCATAATTGAGGCAACAGCAGCAGCAAGCTTGCAATCGTACCATGCTGCTCACGTCAGGCCCAGAGTCCGATCCATCCACCAGCTTCTTCCCCTTGCCCTTCTTTAGCTTCTTGTAGGCGCTCCATGGCAGGTTCTTGGTCCTGGCAGCCTCCTTTTTCTTTTCGATCCCGCGTTTCTCGTTTTCAAGGAGCTCGAGGGTAGTGTTCTTGGTGAGGAGGAGCGGCGTTCCTGCCGGGCCCTTCCCCTCCTCATCGATGTGCCCACCCTTCCTGAGCTGCCGGACGAGCTCGTTGCGGAAACCTTTAGCTCCTCCTCGCTCCTTGTCTCGCTCCTCAGGGACCGGCGGGTGTTCACCGTCACCTCGCATGACCAGCTTGATATCGTCCTTGTTGATGAACCTGCAAGGTGGGATGAGAACTGGAGAAGAGAGATAGGATGTGTGTGCGTGTGGTAGCAGAGCAGAGCAGAGCAGAGCAGAGCAGAGCAGAGCAGAGCAGAGCAGAGCAGAGCAGAGCAGAGCAGAGCAGAGCAGAGCAGAGCAGAGGCAGCGGGGTGGGAGAAAGGAGGACGGAAGGTTGAGGGGAGGCGGCGAGCTCTTGCAGCCAACCTCGTCTCCGGTGGAGGTTGTACACCCAGCAGAAAGAGCGCGAACTTGCACTTGTGCAAACGGATCCAGTGAGACGCTGACGACATGTCAGTCCCGCGGTCATGGTGATGATGGGCGGAAAGGGCAGGGAGCAGGTGGGTGCAGGTACCGGCAGTCACAGCTAGGAGGGAAAGGGAAGAGGTGGTATGAGGAGAGAAGAGGAGGGAGAAAAGAAAGGAGGAGGACAGGAGGAGGGGAGGGGAGGGGAGGGGAGGGGAGGACGAGTGAGCTAGGATTGAGTGTTCGAGAAGCTATGGGGAGGGTGGAAGGGCATCGCTTCTTACCTGTTCCGAGACACCACGTGTAACCCTCGACCATTGATCTGCCAGGCTCCTTCAAACATCCGAGGAGACCAAAGAAGCGGACGAGAAGAGGAATCAAGGTTGCAAGGGAGGGAGGGAGAGAGGGCAAGGATGCAAGAGATGGGAAGGGGAGGGAGGAGCGAGAGATGGGGGGAAAGATGCAGGGAGAAAAAAACAAACGGAGAGAGCATGAGCAGGAGAACTCACTGGAACTCTTTAAGCCTTGCTTTGACCGCCTTGATCAGTGGAACCTGCGGGTAAGCGGAGGATGAGGATGAGGATAACGATGATGACGATGATGATGAT